GAGTTAACAAACGGGAAGATCAAGAAGAGTGATGGATCATTCCGAGACATTAGTGGAGACATAGCAACCATTCAACCCTTGGTTCGCAAGCTCTCCAGTCGATCAACTGTGGAGCGTAGAGCTGCTGCAACAGAAATTAGATCACTGTCCAAAAGAAGTACGGATAACAGAATATTATTAGCAGAAGCAGGTGCCATACCGGTTCTGGTCAACCTCATAACAACAGAAGATGGATTAACACAAGAGAATGCAGTCACCTCCATTCTCAACCTCTCAATATATGAAAACAACAAGGGGCTTATAATGCTTGCTGGTGCTGTTCCTTCAATTGTCCAAGTCCTCAGAGCCGGAAGCATGGAAGTGAAAGAGAATGCAGCGGCAACCCTTTTTAGTTTGTCACTTGCTGATGAGAACAAGATAATAATTGGTGCGTCCGGGGCAATTCCTGCTTTGGTAGAGTTGCTCCAGAATGGGAGCACCAGAGGGAAGAAGGATGCTGCAACAGCACTGTTCAATTTGTGCATTTATCAGGGTAACAAAGGCAGGGCTGTTCGGGCAGGGATTGTCAAACCCTTACTGAAGATGCTTATTGATTCAAGCAATTGTATGGTTGATGAAGCTCTGACTATTATGTCTGTCCTTGCTAACCACCAAGAGGCCAAAGTCATTATAGTGAAGGCTGGCACCATACCTGTTCTGATAGACCTATTGCGAAGAGGTCTGCCGCGTAACAAAGAGAATGCAACTGCCATATTACTTGCCTTGTGCAAGAGAGATACCGAGAGCCTTGCCTGTATAAGTAGGCTTGGTGCAATCATACCCTTGACAGAGCTCACGAAGAGCGGCACAGAGAGGGCCAAACGGAAGGCTACTTCATTGTTGGTGCATCTTCGAAAATTACAGCAGCTATGACACTGTAGCTGTAGTAGCGCGAATATTATCCTATTTGTTTCATTCCTCCAATTTTTTCTCTCTCAATGAATGTTCTTCCACTATTCCTTTTGTGGTGTGAAACTGAGAATACGACGAGCTTGAGGCGAATAAGCCGATCTCAATGCTCTGTATATTCGTTTTCCTTCTTTAAGAGTTCAAAATGTTCATTTGATGCATTGTTTGTTGCAACATTCGTTACTTACTGAAAGACTAGCTTTCATGTTCAAGCGTCTGGTGTGTGTCCATAAAATTATTTCCTCCTAATAATCCAGGGATTTGTGTCACGGACTGTATATTATTAGGTTTTAAATACGAGGCAAGCTTGTTTATTGATTGTTGAATTTCCGAATTGTCAACCAAAATTTGATTTTATATTTTTTTTAGTTTCGTCCCAAATATTTTCTGACATTTCAAGATTCAAAATACGTAGGGACGCCAACGCAAACCAAAACCCAGGAAACTTACAGGTCGAATTAGCAAGAACGAATGATAAAGGGTTTAACTGTAATTTTCAAAGAGAAGAGATGGAACAGCAAACATGATCCTTATCCATTATCCTTTTAAGGTGGGACTATGACCAGGTCATTGATCATCGACATCATCTCAAATTGCTTAAGTTTTCACACAAGCTTCAGCAATGAATATATCTTGAATAGGAGGACCCTTGTGAATGCTGATGCATATGCTTAGCTTGAACTTGTCAACTGCAGTTTAATTTCCCATGTTTCCCATGCATTTCAGGCAAGTAATTTCATGTTACTTTTGGGTATACATTTCTAAATTCCAATTCGGATGGATATTGCACGTGAAAGACCAACATTTCTGCATGTTCAATTTGAATTTTAGAAAACAAGAGCACTCAGATATTTTTGTAAGAGCTGCAGGAAAGTTAGCTTCCTGAGTGAATGGAATTTCATTCATTGTTGTGCTAACTTTATGATAATGTTGGAGAGAAATAATCGCTTCCAAGTTGATGAGCGGACCATCATTTTGGACCCGGTACTTGGACTAACTAGTTTCAGTCACTCAGTACTAAGCTATAGTCCACATCAATGCTGCCAAATTAACTACCGTACATTAGAGCTTAATCACTAATTAATCACTTCCAAAACAATAAAACTAAAAGCTAGTCTTAAAAGGGTATAGCTAGTATAATTTAATTTTTATTTGTTTTGGCATCGGAAACAGAGTCAGGGACGGACCTACAGCTTGGAGTTTTTTTCTTTTCTTATTGTTAGTATATATCTTTTAAAGTTTTGCCGAATCCAAAATCTAGTAGTCCATACTTACGGTAAATCTAGCCTACTACATTTTGAAATCTTGAATCGGTTAGATAAGGTCTCATCCCATCAACCATGTCTTGATGGTTACCTTTTGAAATTATCTTTTCCTAACACAATAATTGATAGTCAAATTGCTCACATGATCAATAGAATCCAAAGAGGAAAATCTGAACAAGTCCGACCCGTGATTACCGTGAACTGTTAGACACAAAATATGATCATGCAATCATCTTTGTTCCACACATCACGGGTTTTTGAGATAGGATCGTTGAAATTGCATATAAAAAGCACAAAACTCAAAAGTAAAGGATTCATAAAGTATATATTATATTAGGAATTTAGGATCGAAAGCTAACGCCTACGTACTTTATGATAATGTCAAAACTCATGAGCTAAGTCGTTTTTTCAAAGAAATTTGCCTTCTTTGTTGACCAACGACCACTATAACAAAATCCAACTACCCACAGAACCACGTCTCTTTCTTATACCCACCATGGCACCAATTCCAAATTCCATGTGAGATCTTAGCCTCCCTTTAGGTATAATAAAAGGGCCACTTCAAAACCAAATAAGATTATTATTTTCCTGGTCACTGAGCTAGCCAAGCTCCTACCTACTCCAATGGGGAACAGTTTGGGAGGTAAAAAGAGTGCAAAGGTGATGCAAATTAGTGGGGAGACGTTCAAGTTAAAGACACCAGTGCAAGCTGGCGAGGTAGTAAAAAACTACCCAGGTCATGTTCTGCTAAAATCAGAGGAGGTCAAGCATTTTGGGGTTCGAGCAAAGCCTCTAGAGCCATACCAAAACCTTGAGCCAAGAGGGATTTACTTCCTTGTTGAGCTGCCAAAGGTTGAGCTTCCAAAGGAGAGAGTTCCAAGAAGGGTGAGGTCAGGGATAAACATGAGCGCTAAAGACAGGCTCGAGAGCCTCATGCTGTCTCGGAGGTCGGTTTCAGACCTTTCTGTCATGAAATCATCATCTGCAGCATCAGGTAACAGCATTGTGCCCGATGAGGAGGCAAGAGAGATTGATGGGGCGGTGCGTGTGAGGATGAGGCTTCCAAAGGTACAAGTTGAGAAATTGATGAAGCAGAGCAGAGACGAGGCAGAGGCAGCTCAGAGGATTGTGGATCTTTGCTTGGTCAACAACAACAGCGGTGGGCAAAGGGCAAGTGAGAAGACCAATGGCAATGGAGGTTTTGGTTTGAACCAGCAAACGCATTGGAAGGATGGCGCTCATGGAGGACTACTTGGATCACAAGGCATCAGATCGCGTGAGGTATGGTTTCTCAGAGACATGGATCCTGTTTTTCTGCCATGTTTAGTGGTGTCTTGACATTTTGGTTTGTTTTGTTTGCTTGAGACGTTTAGAAATGTTGTTGGACCTACAAAACTAATCGTCAATTTTGGGTCCTGATTTTAGGGGCTCGACTTCCTTAGACTTTGGTATGAGCTCAAGCCAAGCTCAACCTTCCCCTGAACTTAAGTATAATCCAAATCTTATTACCTTTACTTAGCACTCACCTTAATATACAAATTGCAACTTAGCACATAAATTATAAACATGAGTTAGGCGAATTAGTCAAGGAAATGTGTCTATCTCTTTATATCCGAGTTCAAATTCTCTTCTCTATTTTAATTAGAGTAGTTTAAATACTTCAAAAAATAAAAATAAAAAAATAAGTCACAATGGTAGCCAAACATGCCTAGAACCCAAAAAAAACACGTTCAAATAAAGGATCTAACTTCTAAGAGTTTGGGCCTTTTGAAAAGATAAAAAAAAGACTTAACTAGTCAACATTTTCACCTGCTCTACCAGCCTTAATTAGTTGCATACGACAACCACTCAGTAGTTACCACTTACCACAACTCTGTTTCCTTCTAACATGTTTTGGTAGCATTTCGAAGACCAATTTATTTATTGATTTGTTTATTTTCATTATGATCAAAGAAATATTATTTATTGACTTGCAGAAACGAGTGAGTTTCCGACCGGACAATGAAGGAGAGATACAAGTAGCTGTGGCTTCTTAACAAGTAGCGGCCAGTAGCCAGTAGGCAGTGTAGTGTAGTAAATGGCCTTAAACTCTAACTGGAGTTGTTCTTGTTTGTGTCCACCTGCTGTTGCTGTATACGGCAACACACTCAAAGAGTCAAAGCGATAGAGGCAGCGTTGTCTTGTGAGTGTGGTTGGACGAGTAACATAATTTTCCTCTAAACTCTCTACTTCAGTCTGCGCGGTATCCCATCAACCACACACTTGTGGTGATCGAGGATTATTTATCTTAGAGCAACTGATGTAATTACATTATACTGCATAATTATGCCTTCTAGTCAAACTTTTTCATCTTCTTAAATTGTTTCTTCTTCTTCATCATGTGATGCCTCTGGACCATACCTACAGTTTCGAGAAAATTCTTAAAATTTTCTTTGAAAAAGGGGGGAGAACTTAAAACATAGAAGAATTAACTCATATTTCTATCATTTGGGTATGAATAAACTTACATTGGGTAACGAGTAAACATATGAAGCCAGAAGTATAAAGTTTTTATTCTATTTTATATAAACGAAAGTTAATTGACAGGGATTTTCAGAATTCTTTATACCAAAGTTACATTCCAAGGTTTCTTATCCAAAGGGGTTTATATTCAGCATTAGCCCAATAATACAAAGCTAAGATGAACGATAAAGTACTCGACACATGCGACCCAAAAGGATACATGTACTCCAAGTAAAGATGCATAATCCCAGATAGATGTGCTCAGAGAATTCAAAGAGAGAATAGTAATGAAACTAATAAAAATTTGATATTTTACTGATGAAGCACGTGGACAACAAATGTAACGTTTGAAATTTTGATTTACATTTGTCTACTTTTACGTCACATGGCTATCCTTTACATTGTTGGTAAACTTTGACATGCAAAACAACAGTTGCCAACTCTTCACAATTACAGCGGTAACAAATCTCATTTGGGTTAATTCTGTCCCGTATACAAAAGAAAGGGGAAGGAAAAGATGGAGGGATTTCCCTCCTCTCTGTTTATCAGCAATAACAATTCCCCCGTTCCTTATTAGTGAACACATCTTGTGTGAACAAAAGAAAGAATATGCAATGATGCCAGCTGTTCATGACGACCATTGATCAGGTACAGTGAGAAAATAGGTGGTCATTGCCTTCCGGAATCTTTTCTTGTATTGCATAGGAGAAATGATCGTTGGAGCAGCATTCTTCGGACCGCCCAGGATTCCAGATGCCTTCACCCATGTCTCCAAATGTTTGTCCCACGTATATTGTCTCATAAAATCAATGATCCCCAAAACCAGCTCCTTCCGCTCATCGTCCACCCCAACCAGCAGTGAGTAGTCCATTACATCAACAGACTGGAGAAACATGACATGAGTTAATAGCTACACTAGTTAGCATTTATAGTTTGGAGGCAATACTGTCAACAAAATGGTTCGATCCCATGAAATGGGGGAAGTGCACATACAAGGCACAGGAGAAGCTATGGAAGATGCAAGAAAAAAGGAAGAGGGTGAAGGCATACCGCTAAAAATGATGTATCATTCCAAATGGCTCTTTCCAGGCTTCTCTTTGCTTTGCTTCCAAGAAACATGGGTTTTGTACGTAATGATTCCAACAAATTCATATCCAACAGTACTTTGTTTCCCCCTGATGTATCAGAATTGTAACGGGATCGAGCAGACCCCTTGAGATCATATACCCTTGAAATATTTCTTTTAAAGAATAGGTTCTCCATCACCATCAAATCCATTTTAGTTTCCTTCCCACCTTTCAGGTGTTTAACAGTGACCTGCCAACAAACCAGTGTAATAAGATTACAAGAATATGTAAGCCATTACCCACCAGTACTAACCCGTGTGGTGCACATACCAATAAAGAGAAAGTAAACAAATAAATAAATAATTAAAGAAGGTCTAACCTGATATATACCAAGAACCTTGGCAAGACAAGTTGGACTTCCAGAGCCAAGGGACTCTGACAAATATTTAAAATACTCAGGTGCGAACTCCTGAAAGGATTCCAATTCTGTCTTTGTGACTTGTTTTACGATGAATCTATCGTCCAGAGATTTCGCAAAATATACATTGCTCTTCCCCCCTTGTGCACTCCACCTCTGGCAGCGGCTCAAAGATCGTACAAAATCTACTTCACTGGGACAGCACATTTTCCTAAGAGAGTCAAACTGCTTTGCAAAATAACAAGTCACAGAAAATTTCACTTTGCCTACAGCATTTGAGGACTCGTCCTCAAAGGAAATCCTTAAATGTGGAGATCTTTTGGCATCTGAAAACAGGTTACCCATGGATGATGCAGCATCTTCAGATCCATAACTTCCATAGTGAATATAATCCAAGTCCATAGAGCCAAAAGACTGCCAGGGTGAAAATATGGAAGGTGCAGAATCTTCTTTATAGCTATCATGATTACTCCAGCCTCCTTGATGATCATTCAAATTATCAGCGACCCAATCCTCATAATCCTTGGAACTAAGGGCATATGATATTATGCTAGTGGGCTCACTATCATAAACACCAACAACTATGTCATTGCTGCTTGTCTGGGAAAGCAGCAACCGGACCCCATCAGCTATTTGAGATGCAGAGGAGATTAATGAGGGTGTGAAACTGAGTATTGAATCCAACTTCGGTGCCTCTCGTGGAAATGCCTGGGAATGAGTCCTTCTTACACTAGACACAGGATCTCTTACCATACTCTTATAATCTCCAGAAGCATGGAATGATCTAATTGTCGACAAATGCAACGAAGAAGGGGGCAATCCCTTCCTGATCCTTTCTTGGACTCTTACTGCAGAATCAAAAGAATGAACTCTCATTGACGACATTAACCTCCTCAAAGGAGGATCGTCATTTTGACTTGTCCGCTTGACAGCACTAGCTGGGAGTCCAACTGCAGATGTATGAAGAGGCTGAGCTTTCACCAGAAGGTGATCAGTTCCAGTCCATGCAGAATCTATTCTCTCAGAAAGAGTAGATTTGTGGGAGGGGGAGCTTTCACAGGATGTCTTATTAACAATTTCCCTATCAGCATGTATTTCATCCTCTCGGCTATAATGGCATGATACTAACATGGGGTCTTCAGAAGGTTCATGTGTTGGTATAGTTGGTTCTTTATCCAGCGATAAATCATTTCCAGGACGCACTTGCAATTTTGAAGATTCAGACACATTATCTTCATGGCTATAATCAAACCTGCCATCCTTGCTAGATGAGTCACTTGTCAACTCTTGCAGGTGGACAAAAGATACACCCCCTTCTGTGGCCATAGAAGCAGGATTTTTTCTGAGGAGTGAGTCCAGTGAATAAAGCTGGCGATCCCAAACATGAGAGCCAATTAAAAGAGAGCGTCTCAAGCGATTTAGCTCCAGAATGTCTACTACAGCCATTTGGCCTGGTTCTGAAGTCTCCACAAATGCAGGTTGCAGAAAACCCTATTAAAAGAACCAAGGAAACTAGATTAGCAAAAGACAGATTCATTGTCCACAATGCATAAATATGAACTATATACCAGGAAACATGTGATAACAATCAGTCACAAAAACATCATGATGATGCTATATTTTGTACTTACAATGTAGTCATTTCTTTCCTTTTTAAGCAGATCTTTCAGCTCCACGATGTGGTTCTGTAATTCACTTGCACCTGACATTTCACGTCCAAAAGATCTATTTTTCTCTTCCATGCAGTCCAGTACATCAGATATCTCCGCATATAAGGTTTCCATTTTTCCCATAAGCTGCAAAAAAGAATTGAGATCTCATAAAATTGCAAAAGTTACAAAACTAGTTCAGCATTCAACACCAGTCGAGAAATTATTCAAAAATCAGATTAAATTTTTTAAAAGCACCTCGGTTGCCTCTTTTCTTATCCACTCTGGCTGAACTTGGCCATTGAATTCAAGCACTGAAGGGGGCAAGTGGACAGAAAGAATATCAATGGGCGAATATCGGAAGAATGCAACCATACTCCCAAACCTGTTATACAAGAGTTGCCAATTTGAAATAAGATCACTTAATACTTGAAAAATTAACAACCAATCCAAATCTATTAGTACTTACCCATAATAACGGAGGCAGTCCCGTTGTAATGAATGGCCACAAGTAGCAACACGATTAGCAGTTGCGTGATTTGAAAAACTCAATTCCAAGAACTTTCCAAAAGAAAGTCCCCAGGCAGCATCTGACATGACTACTCTACGTGTTGCTGGTGGAACCCCATCTATATGGGCACACCTTAGACAACGGTGCCACATCCATATTTTACCATCTCTCTCCCCAGGGAGCTTTAGTGAAGGAAGGCGTCTTACATTAATGGTAATGTTTCCTTGCTGATGGGTATAACATAGAACATGGGCTTCAGCTGGCTCTTTACAAGATCGACAAAAAGATGTCTGCCAATTATAAAACTCATTAACTATAATTCCATAATAAGAAATAAAATAAGGGGGGAGGGATTAAGTAAACTAACAATGAATTACCTGATCAAATAAGTCATCACGAAGATATCTGCCAAGTGGCTTATCAAAGCAGCCATAGAATTTTATCCGCAGAAGCCGGGAGCGTTCACAAACAGTTCCTTTCAGCACACAATGGCTTGAAAACGATACCAATATGCTCTGATGAGTGTCAGCAGAAGAGAAATACTCACTTGAAACTTCATTGTGGTCAATTCTTTCAGATGTTGTCAACTCATGAATATCCTCATGTTGACTCCAGTTATGAGGCAAGGGTTCTTGCAACTCTGGTTGGGAAAGATTTTTTGTGACAGACGAATGGGCAGTTAGCCCCTTTATATCCTTGTGTTGAGATGGAGAAGAGTCCAAAAATACATTAGATGCTAAATCATCAGTATATGCATCAGAAAATGTATTTCCAACCACAGAGTCCACAGAACCATTAGGCAAAGGAAAATTGTGCTCGGGATCAAGATGCTCGGACAAAGATTCTAATCCTTCAACTTCTGGTTTCAGACCCAAAATGTCATCATCTTGAGCAGAAGCAACAGCTATAGCTTTGGAATTGCTTGAACTAAAAGAATTAGGGACTACTGAAATTGTATCAGCTGTTGTCCTATCTGGTATGGTAATTGAGTGTCTCAGCGTTGTCTTGGGCAGAGTAGCACCCTCATCAGCAAGGAAAGAAGTTTCGAGGGATAAATGATAAGCTGCAAACACTGCATACTGGACAACATGTTTGATCTTCTTGATCGGGCATACTATTGCTATCCATAATGGAAAGGAGCATTTGCCTATTTATATAACGGATCGTATAATATAATTATATATATTTTATAAAGTTTATGGGCGAACGACGGGGGCCTTGGACACCCTTCAAAAAACATCATGGTCTTCTGTGGTTTCTTGTTATACTGATTGGCTGGCTCATGCTGTTCAGAAATCTTTTCTAACCGGAACAATTCACAATGTCCCAAACGAGTTTTAGGGATATCGTCAATTGATGGAGTAATAAGTGCACCAGTACACCGGGCTATATGCTCTAGTACTGGCCTCTTAACGTTCAACACTAACGATATTTCCTTTTCTAGCAGATAGTCTTGAGCATACGAAGATACACTTTTTTCTACCAGTAGAACATTGGGGCGGAGAGCCTCTATCTTTGAGATAATCATCCTAAGATGATCGTTTTCCTGTTAAAAAAAGGTCAAAAATTCATTTACAGAACTTTAAAGATAAAAGAAATTGTCTTTAGAGAGAGAGAGAGAGAGAAACAAAACAAAACCTGATGCAGTAATGTATTAAAAGACGCCAACTGGTTCGGAACTTTCTGATACTCAAGCGATCCTCCTAGAATAAGTAATCTAGGATTTTTGTACTGCGAGGTCATGCGCTTGTGCTTTATATTCTTTGTACAAACTACTCCTTTTACAAGGGTACTGCAAAATCCAAAATGTTTAGCTTAAAGATACAGTTAAGCCACTAGTACAAAGATCTGCAAAATGAAAGGAAATCATACCTGTCACTTGGACTTCCTGATGCAATACATTTAACTTTCACATAATCACCAGGATCCATACTGCCTCCTCTGCTAGTGTCCGGTTTAACAAAACTTGCAGCTTGCCATGCTATTGTTGTAACTATGTCAAGCCAGTCCTCATCTCCATCCTCTTTGCCCACAAAACCCTCACCTTGTAACAGTTGCGATACAAGAGCTCTAAAATGTCCCTGTACCACCGCTCTAAGTGGTTCCTTGTTACCCTCATTCAGTTTCTCCTTTGCAGGAAACATGTTCGAAAGGCTACTACTTGATGAAAATATTGCACCTGAATCTCCAATATCATCATCTTCATCATCATAAGAAAAAAAATTACTCTCTGCCTCATCATTCTCATCATCAGGTGGAGGGGGATACCAGATGAGACCATTGTTTTCAAAATCCAGTGGCCTCTGTGATTTCTCATATTGGCTGCGGAAAACTGACAAGTCATCAGAGCAATCATCAGTAATATCTGGATCCTCAGTCCCTTTATCAGGCCTTTTTAAAACAGCCGTAGTCTGTTGACCAAAGGGACCGTCATTCTGAGACACCGGGATTCCCTCCTGCCCCTGCTGTACAGAATGCCCAACTCTACTAGAAGTATAATAAATTCTAGATGGGCAATCAAACTGATTTGATCCCGGTGACCTTGAACGGTAAAACTCATTTCTAGCACTAACACTACTTAAATCTATATCCAAATTGTCATCACAATATTCACTTGAAGGGCTGAAAAAGTTCTTTCCAGAATCCTCTGCCTCCTCTTCGTCACTCCTACATTAGAAAGCAGAGAATTAGTTAAGCACCATATTCACTTGGGGAGGGAGCTGGAGAGAGACATAAAGAGAGCCAAAATGAAAAGGCTATGTCCAAATTTTGAATACTATAGCAATTAAAAGAGATTAAAGCATAATTACATAAAACATTTAGGGCAGCATCTTGATGCACTACATGTAATCTGAAGGAAAGCATACCTGCTAAAAGAGCGACGAACAGATATTGGAGAAGGGTGAGAACTAAACATGGTCATACTCCTCACAGCATGAGGAGAATACCCACAATCCCGGGCTTCAAGAAACTTTGAGAACTGATCACTGCGAATGGATTCATTATCCACAGAACACTTGACTGTTTCACCACTAAAACAGGGGGATGGTGGTTCAGGGCTTTCTCGGGGAGAGGCAGAAGGATGCACTTTCTCACTATACTTCCTTCCACTTTCCCTCCTTAATCTAACCTGAGAACAAAACTTGCAGAACTTAGTAATACTCTCTCCAACCTCATCATTGCTCTTGATGCCACCCCATTCACAGCCCTGAATACACTTCCCACAAATCCATCGGCCACAGCTTTGGCAGTGGTATCTATGACCAATATCAGTGGTATTTGTATTGCAATCACAACACATCTTGCAACCGTTACCGGGCATATCAAACTCGCCGGACAAACACCGTGATTCCCTTGCTCTCCTAGAAACCCAAGACTTAACTTTCTCTATTAGATCTAGTAGTGATGTATCAGGTATTCCCATAGAATGGTCAGAACCCAACAAGAATAATGAACCAGCTCTTCCTCCTCCAGAAATCTAAATTCTTTTTCTTCTGTTCTAAATTTTCGTATAATGAAAAAATAAAATAAAACGACCCACAATAAAAACGGTGGGCGAATTGGAAAAAATATGTGTTTTTTTTATATGGACTTTGATTATGATTTCGTTTCCCTTGTTTCTTGTTTCCTTTTTTTTTCAAAAATTGGAACAAAAACAGAAAGCAAATCCTCCTCCAAGAATCACAAAATAATATCACAGGAGGAAATCAGACAGCTTAGGATACACGAAATCTAACACTATTTACAACCCAAAAAAAAATCACCAATAAGAGCTTAAAAGTTAAGCAGCTGCAGCAGCCCAAAGAAACTTAAATAAAAAGCAAAATCCCTCTTGACAACAAAGAAACCCTAACCAATCCCAGAGTCTTCAAGAATGCATCCGGTGATCGATTGGAGCATATCAGGGCGATTGAATCGGAGCAACTCCAAGTACAAGCCCAAGCAGAATAAAAAACCCTAATTCCATGAGAAATCCAAGAGAGGAGGAAGCAACCGGCAGCATAGAACAAGAGAAAGCGAATAATATTATATTATATGATATGATATGACGACTGAAGAACAAAGCAAAAGAAGAAGAACAAGTATGGTAGAGGAGACAAACAGGAAGCGGGAGAGGAGAAAGATGAGATATTGGAATTAAATGCTGGGAAGAATGAGAATCAAAAGGAGGAAAAGGAGAAGTACGGAGAAGGTTCCCTTTCTGCCGGAGTCTGCTCGCATCTCGAGACACGCACTTGCCTCTCTCTCACTTCTTCTTCCTCTTCCTCTTCTTTCTTCACTACCAGAAACAACAACACTAGTTCTCTTGTTTACCATATTTGCCGCTTTATTTTCATTTCATTTATTTTATTTTCTCTTCTTCTTCTTCTTCTCTCTTTATTTTCTTTTCTTTTCTTTTCTTTTCTTTTCCTCCTTCCTGCGCACCCCAACCCCAAAACTGCCTCTACTACTAAAATATTGCTTTTCAAAAAGCACTTTCTCGCCCTCGTGATCTCATCTCTATCTATCTATTTCTTTATTATATATATTTTTTTTAATTATCCTTCATTCGTCGTAACAGTACAGGTTTTTTTAATTAAGTGTTTTTTTAATTTTTCAATCTGGCATTTAAGGCGGTCATTGGTCAGCGTGATGCTCAATTAGGTCTCAAAAGTCTTATTTAATTCAGTTCTTTTATATATATATATATATTTTTATTTTTATTTTTTTTTTGTCAAATTTGAGTTTTCTTGTATGATTTTGTACACAACAACTACAAAAAAGCACTCGCTGTTGATTGGTCAGCATCAGTGTGTTTATAAACGTTTTTTGGGCCAAACCTTTTTTTTTATAACAAAACTCAGTCATGCATTAATTCAATGGATTTTGTTGGATTATTAGGGGCATGTCTTTAATTTGGCGACTTCTTTTATTTCTTTTTAAAACGCCTATTCATGGAGAGTGTATCACACGCTCCGTGACAGCATCTAGAAAGAACTACCAGTCACCGTGACCCATGGGGTCTTTGGGTGGTTTGGTGGATTCGTGGGTCAAGCTTCACGGGTTTGCTTTGACCCGAATGCTATTTCCTTTGTCCAAGTCCATTTTCTTTGGTTGACCCGGCATCTTAGATGCCAGACCAAAGTGTAATGGGATGCGAATACGAAATGAATAATGTGACTAGTGTAATGATGATGGTAAACAATTGCACAAACTCACACATACATACAAGATGAAGACTTACTAGTGTTGGAGATCATAATTACTCTTGAACAAGTGTCACTTAAACAAACTTAATCTAAATTAAACTAGGGTAATGAGTAGAGATACGCATAAGTGAATGTGATTTTTAAAAAAAAAATACTTATATTCAACGACATGACGTGATATAATTCAGTTTAACCGAGTTCTCAAACAATTCATTCTAAGTCGAGTCATTAAATAAGACTTGTGTATTCAGCACTTATCAGGGTTACGTGATAGATGGGGCAGAGCTAGTGTGGTCCTAGACCCCCAATTCATTTTTACCTCTTCTATTTGTATATTATAATAGTTTTAAGATATTTACCCTAAAATAAAAGAATATATTAGGTTTTTTTTGTCTACAAATTAACCATAAAAATTATTGATTTCTCTTCTACTCATCTCCCTTAAATCTTCTAGGTTAGTTTATGATATTTTCACTAAAAACTCCTAAAGTTTTAACCTTCTCTTTCTCTTCTTTCTCTTTCTCTTTTGTTTAGAACTTTGTGAATTTTTTATTCTCCTCATTCTTTTTCATATATGAGTTGAGTACCTTAATATTGCGCTTTATGAACTCTCTTTTTTGTTTCTATTTATTTTTTATGTATGAATATAAATTATTAATTTTTAAGTCTTTAATAGTGTATATTATAAGCAATTTAAAATATGAAATTCATGATAATTATGAAAAGAAGACAAATTTTATGAAGAGCCCCTTCTAATGTGAAATATTGGCTCCACTAATATAATTACAAATAAGTTTATACCCATCTATAGAGAGGCCCGACCCATGTTGTGCACATAAAAAGTGATGCCAATTGGCATGTCCCCTACAAATTACAATGGACAAGCGGGTGAGGGGATTTGGTAAACATTGGTTTGGTGGGAAGCCAACATCTGCAAAGGTGTTTGTGCTGCCAAGGTCTACCGAAAGATGGAGCTTTATTTCTATTTTCTTCTTGGCGTTTTCTTTGAGTAGATTATAGTTCTTCTTCTTCCCAACCTTTTTTTGGAATTTATTTTCTTATATACTCACAGCCATTAAAGTTACATCATTCCTACACATAAACAGTCAGAGATGATCGGATAAGAGTACAGGGGAGAGCCGCCCCTAGCCAAATTTTCACCCTTTTCCTTCATCATCATCATCATCCGTGACTCATCTCCATGTGATGGACATGTTTTTGTTGATTAATTATAATTACTTTTTGTTTTTGTATTTGGAGAATCCATATTCCATATCCATACGATTAAGTTAACCAACCTGCTTTAGTCTTTTTCTAAATGTCAAATTACGGCAACAAAGGCCCACAACATACATCTCCTCTGCCTAACAGAAAAGCCTAGCGAAAAAGAGAATCCCACACTACCCCCCATTTTGTTGTACTTGATCAAAAACCCTTCTCTTTAGGAGAAACACTTATATGAAATGGGAATAATAATATTTTGTTATTTCCAACCAATCACAGTATGCTACGCATGATAACTTTCTCACGTGGCATTCCGTGATTGGTCGGAGATAGCAAAACAGTGTTATCTCCGTTTCATACAAAATTTTCTGGTGTTTTAGTACTCTCCTCCAAAGTCAATATAAGCGTATTAAAGTAAATGCATTAGAAAATGAATATTTGGGGCGTGCATTAAACTGGGTTTAATTTACAATTCATTGATTTTGAGGCATGAATAATGGGGTGTAGGGATAGGGAGATCCAATAGAGCAGCATTTAGGCATGATGTTAACATTATTTTTAGGCGTGATGTTAACATGTCATCACACCCACCTTAATTAACAAAAAAATTAGCCCCTAAGCAAAAGGTAATTAGAGCACTAGGATACATCTTTTAATATCTAAAGCATGGTGGCGTATTTCAAAACTATTATCCTTGAAAAGTTTGATGTGCTCTTATATAGAAATGATTCCTTCAATGAAATTAGAGGAGTGTGAATTAATTAATTATACATATGGTATTTACTCTTAACTCTAAAATAATCGGCGTGACATTGACTGGACATGAAAGTCCACTAAAACCCTAGCCTATGGGATCGCATCTCCCAATTTTCTCTCTAATCGGTCGGTAAATATCTCAATCATACAGTGATATAATAAGTGCTAATATCATGCTTTTGGAATCTTGGGCTGGCATATGTACATTCATCGTTTGAACTTTGCTAGCTAATGACAAATAATAAAATTCCAATCTCTATGAATTTTTGACTGCTAATTGTGTGCGGATATAAAGGTGATGTTAAGGTTGGATTGGATTAGTAGCCTTTTGAAAAATAAATAAAAAGAAAGAAAAACAGAATACAACCACCAGTCAAATTTACTAACTTCATTAATTTGAACTCATATTTTTTTGTTGTAGAAGAGGTATTTTTGTGTTTGTTAATACAAGCAATATTAAAAAAGGAAAATTCGAACACGAGACCTCATATGCATGAATAATTGCTTAATCACTTTAATTATAAGTCCCTTTCACGATAAAAGCGTTATAATTGTTGAACTGACTTTGACTCTCAAATTGGTGGGCACAATGAATAGAAATTGCATGCCAGTATTAACTTGAATTGATGCCCTTATTAACTTGAATTGAATGGAAGCAGCAGCAGTATTAATTCATTTAGCTGAGCTGGTAGGTCAGATCTGCATGCACAACTTAAATGGACGTGCATGTAAAGCTTATAATTAATGCTTACCAAAAATCAGAAAAAATTATTTATTTTTATGCCATCTCTGTGCTGTGGCTGTGGTGGTCATTTTATATTACGTTTAATATTGCAGAAAAACTTCTGATTTGGTTGCTGCCCTGTTTCAACTTTATGATAATCATATGCTTGCTTCTGATAATTGCATCAATTAGCTTAATCACATTGCTTAGTCATTAATTACAATCTCAATAGGAGGAAGGAAGGAAGTACCCCAGCTTTTTAGGGACGGTAGTTGACTGCACTACAGTGTTTCAATAACTTTCAACTTATGGATCTATTTTTTATTTTATTTTTAAACAACATATAATTTTATTTTTTGTTGCCCCTGAGTAAAAGCAGAGGCAGAACATGAAAGTTGATGATGTAGCTTAGAGGGCATGAAAGGGAAGCAACCATTTGAGTGCAATTGGTTGGAAGGAACAACAGACCTCAGTTTTTTACTTTAAATTAATCCCAATTTTTTTCTTCTTTAATTTTAGTCAGTGTAAATATGGTACAAAACAAAAGAAAGCAAGGAACATAATATAATAATCCAATGATCCCATTCTCTCTTTCTTTTTTTAATTTTAAATGTTTAATTTTAGGTAGGTGAGGTTTTTTTTTTTTTTTTTTTTTTTTTAAAGCTACGAATTTACCCTTAATTTGGATGAAATTTTTAAAAAAAATTGACGTTAAGCCCTTAATTGGCAATTTTTAAACAATTAGAGTCCTTAATTTACCCAAAAAATGATTAAAAAACTAAATTGCAAATAATTCAAAGACGAAAACCGCAAAAAACCCAACATAATATAATAATAATCCCATGATCATGTGGGGTAGTGTAGTGGTGATTGACTGCATAGGAGATGCACCAAAGTAGGGGTACCCATGCCTTGGTTTTCAACTTTTGAACTCCCCACTTCAATTTATTTTGAAAATTTCTTAATTTTGCATCAAAGATTGGATATATGTAAAAATTCAAGCAAAATAGCTTTTACTTACATGTGAATTCAGAAGTTAGCTAGTTGAGATTGTCGGCCATCTTCAATAATAATCTCACATTTGCGGTCGAAAGCTACAAACCTAGTGAAAACGGGGATCCGGAAAGCATATATAGATTTCATTTTGGACTATTTCAGCAGCTCAATATACTACTGAAATCTGAATGTAAGTTTGGTGTTGCTGTATTTTGTTGGTTTACAAACTCATATGGTGTTGTATAATATACTAAAAGCTTTTACAATATTATGCATTACATTACAACCTAACAATTAGGTATTGGAGTACAGGTAATGCTAGGCATACCACATTCCCACCAATATAATGAGGCCCACCTCTATTTTTTTATTTATTTATAGAAATTCTAGGATTGCATTCATAATTCAGCCAAAAAAGCCATTAGCCACAAGGGGCCAAAACAAACTAGCCACAAAGGGCGATTACAATAACGGAGCGGTCGAACAACAAAATTAAGACAATTTGGTGCGCCTCCACTAACGATCACGCAGGAGCGAATAAATTCTAGCATAGGCATCCCAACTAAGATTGCAAACTCAGAATAATCAAA